ATGCTCCTATTTTTTTCACTAAAACAGCCCTATGGGGTGAGTTGGGCTGACAGAGAGTGACAGGCTAAAGTCACCTAGCTGCTTCAATGACTGAGGCGGGATTAGAACGGATCATCTCCTAGGGATTTGGCCAAAGTTACCCAGCCAGCTTTCATGCCTGAGGTGGGACTAGAGCTCACTTTCTCCTAGTTTTCAGCCTGGTGTTTTAACTACTAAACTGGCCTATAATTCATCATCCTAGAAGGAATCCAGATTTAATATATCCTTATTCAGTATTTCTTTGTCTTAGACATTTGTATAAATTGGAACCATTTGTTAGGGAATAACTGTGTTGATATCATTGAAAATAGATACCAAAGTACTTTTTTTTTTAAAAAATGACTTCAAGCAAAAATCATTTTTACCTGTAACATTTTTAAGGACCGCAAAAAATCAATTTACCGCTCTACCAAGAGAAAAAAGAGAACTGTCGCTGATGAATCTGCTGAAAATGTCATCGATTGGTGGTCAAAGTATTATGCTTCAATACAAAAAGTACAGAAGGTAGGCAAAGTCATAATATACATTTTAATCTATTTTTCTATGTGATGTAATTTTTTTTGGGGGGGGGGATTGAAGTTTTTTTCCTGAGTAGGAATAGCTCCTTTTCAGACACTTCTCACACACACACACACAAACACACACAGTTTCCAGTAAAGAGTTTCCTAAGTAAGTCCTGAACTCATTGGTAGCCTCACATGAAATGAGCAAGGACATACATTCAATTTTGCAGCTACTAAGATTGTCAGACAAGCAGGCACAAAAACAGCCAGGGAAGTGATTGAAACCTGGGAAACGGGCCCTCGACAGGGGTGGTATTTACTTACCTTCCCTACTGGTTTGCAAATGTGAGTGCATGCATGCGCTTCTGGATAAAAAAGGGCCTAAATGAGATGCCATAGAGCCGGGTTGAGTGGGGCGGGGCCACCAGTATTCTACTGGTTCGGGCGAACCGGTCCGAACCGGTAGAATACCACCTCTGCCCCTCTTCAGTCAACAGGCGTGCTTATTTACCACCAGATTTTTTGGTACTTAGAAGGCAAGGGCTGGGCAGCACAAGCAAACCACAGTCAACAATTTAATGGCCAGCCATCAACCCCCCAGTCAGCATCTAAAAAGCCACATACAACAGGCACCACACAGGGAATAGCACACACTCTGCTAGAGAGAAGTTTCCTGAAGATGGGCTCCAGTACAAGTCCTAAAGCTCAGAAGACAAAATCTCTGGTCCTGATGATCAACCCAATTGGATCCTGCAATATTATCTTGGGACACATACATTTGCCTTCATCCCTAAGTACATAATTAAATAACAGAAAGCAAATATGTTAAAGCTGGATTGCAGTTAAGCAGCTTGATCTGTATTTTCATAAGTACTTTTTGTTTTATTTCCAAAGGCAAAAGTCTTCGATTTCAGTGATGGAAAACCAGGAACATGTGAGTAAATATTTACATTTTTATTAATAGTGCTTTTCATAGTAAATGGTAACAGTCCATTCTCTCAAGAATACTCACACTCAATCAATATTCTGGTATATTCTAAGTGATTTGTATCCAAAATGTCTGTTTGCCTACAAAATATATCTTTCCTTGGAAAAGGAATTTTTGATCCCACTGAAAATGTCATTTGTAGAAGGAGAAAGAGAAGTCCATTATCATGGCAATTCCTCTTCATTCCTATCCCCTGGTTGTCCCAAAGGTGATGTTTCAAAAGGCAATTGGACTTTGTTTTTCCTTGAAGACATTTCGCTTCTCATCCAAGAAGATTCTTTAGTTCTGAAGAGTTCTGAACAGAACTGAAGAAGCTTCTTGGATGAAAAGCAAAATGTCTTCAAGGAAAAACAATGTCTAGTTGCCTTTTGAAAAAGCACCTTTGAAAGTTCCATGGGGTATTCAGAGTTCGTTCCTTGTGTGTGTGTGTGTGTGTGTGTGTGTGTGTGTGTGTGTGTGTGTGTGTGTGTGTGTG